TATCATCTTTCGTTTGATATTTAAAGTGATGAATGAATGAAACATAAATGTAAGAAAATCATATATAACGTAAAAAGACGAATACACAATTATTTTAAATTGTAAGTTTCCTTCTCAAATAACGTATTAACGAAAAGGTAATGTAATATTGATCGTTGTTCAATATTGACATAAAAATCCGTAGTTCAGTACCGGGCTACAGTGATATTGATTACAAATAATTGTCTTTAAGAAACCCGAAGAAAAATGTAGGTACGGAAACTTGCCGAATTATTGACGTGAAAAAGTCATAGGTTGCGTTAAATTAAAAAAACAACAATCAAGAATAAATTGAATAGAACTCACCCTTTCAGAAATCCACCTGCAGCTTGTAGACCTGTGTCAGTAGGTCACTATACCGATCCTGCTCATCGACGGACGAAATAGTTTATGGTTGGTGAGAGCTAGTGCACAGCTGGTCGCAGATACACGGCACCACCGAAAAACGTATTGACAAGTGCGGTCAGGTCAACGCACTGACGGTGTTTATTTCAATGTACGGTCACTAACAATCTTCACTTGTCAAAATCATGTTATTTACTTTAAATAGTTTTGTTATTTATCGTGTTGCTCCTACGTTAATTTATTGTTATAGAGGAATGTGTTGTTCCTACGTTAAGAAAAATACCAAAATATTCGTGCGACGAATACACGTTTCACTGTCACTGAATTTCACGAGATACTGTCTGTGATTTTTCCCAAGGAGCTTCTTCTACCGCCAAAACTCCGTAGTAAAACTTTAGGTGGGAATATGTTGGGACCAATGACAATTTAGGACGGTTTCCCGATTGCGGATCGCCTACGTCACGCAACTCACAAGATGCGAGCGGGCAAAAGACCAATGCACAATAACTGCTCCCTTCGAAGCAACCCTTGAAGTACCATAAATTTACCAACCAGAGTGCCAGCCAGATCTCCCAGGAACAATGTCCTTACTCGCAAGACAGCGCAACATTGGGCTGTTGGCCATCTCTAACTTTCACGCATCTGTTTCATATAAATGTTCCTGTAGGCCATCGATAGCCCAAAGACCCACCCTGGTCTTTCGTCAGGGTTTACCAGAAGTGAGTTTCCCAGATTTTGATGCAATCACGTATACGTTCGTCGGCTTAAATAATGTTTTTTCAACTATTGGTCCAAATTGTCCAGTTGCTTCTTGCAAGACCATAAACACAGGCGATAACAATCTTCCATCAGCAGTTATTATTGGTTGTATTGTATAACTATGTGTCGTTGAAGATACAGATTGTACAACACATTCTACTTTTCTTTGGCCTTCCACTGCTAAGGTTCGTCCAGAATGTATTTCTAATTGAAATCCACTCTGGTCTGAATTGTATATATTCTCAGGTCCGTATTCAGCAATCAAAGGCAGTTCATTAACAAAGTTTGTAGCTTTGACCTCCAAGACTTGATCATTTTCCATTGTTTTTCGTGTAACAAATTTGGTTACTTTTCGTGAAACAATGCGATTAGCTTTTTTAAAATTACTTAACCATGTTCTAGAAGCTTTAAATACCATATTATCATTACCCTGTTCCTTATATGCCTTCAAAGCCCATCGTCGAATATTTCTCTCATGCAAAATATAACCGGCATCAAGAGCTTTCCTCACATTTTTGATTACATACTCGGAAATTTGTGCTAATCTTTCTCGTCTGGTACCTCCTGCTTCAACTTGTAGAGCCCATCGTCGTAATTGTCGTTCAGAAGAAACAAGTTTAAAATTATATTGAACTGTACTAAACTTTCTTTTTTTTTTCTCCGTGTTTCCAAAATGTAACTGCATTCCGCTTATACTCGACATCAACATCTTTGTCACGCTGTGAACAAACTCCTGTATATATTTCTTCTGACCAATTTTCATTTTCATCATCTTCATCAACAGCTTCAACTTCACACTCCTTAAACTGATCCAGGAAGTCTAATGATAACTCTTCCGAAACTTCGAATTCATTAAATTCAAATATGCTATCAAGCAACATTTTCTGTATGGATTCTTTCAATTGTATTTCATCCCTTGTTATAGGAGTTTCCATCAAGTACATTGTTTGAAATGTTGCTAATAACAAATTGATCACGTTCATCGGATTAATAATCATTTTCACTCACAAAAACTGTAGTTACACAGGTCAATTTATTGGCAACACTTTTAATTATTCTAAAAAGTAAAATAAATTATAAAAACAAAGAAAAGAAATTTTTTGAACAATCGAAATTGACAGTAAAGTCCACCAACTTCGAAACTCAAGTCACAATGCAAGCTCTTACTCCTGAGCACTGCGATTTATATACAAGAGCACTTGCGATGACGCTTGTTCTTTTCTTACAATACTCTATTAATAACTCTATCTTTCACAAACATAGACAAAAAAGTCTGCGAAAACATGTTTTTCAGAAAAATAACATCGCCAGAGTTATTCTTGTGCCGCTGCATACGTTCGTTGAAAAACAACAAATATGAATGACACAAGACATCACGTTTGCAAATAAACGTTGCTTTTGTAAACAAAAAGATTCATAAAAATTATATCAAATTTTTTGAGAAATCGAAATTGACTTTTATAAATTGACCATTATTTAATTGTTATTAATATATTCTCCGAAAACCGAGGCAATCGGAAGCTTAAAGAGCGGGCGTGCGCACAGGATATAAATAATAAAAAACTGCGAGACTAACAATCAGAGTGACCAAGGTCAGGCCACCATTATCGGGCCCAGTCATAACAAAATTCGTCGGTCAAAGCAAACAAGCTACGGGCACCGAAGTAGTAAGAAATCTTCAGGTTCATAAGTCGAAAGTACGAATTTTTTAGTTTTGTAACTTATTTGTAACTCTAACTTGTAAGTCCAACCACTTTTAATAGTTTGTAACTTATACTCTGCAATTTTTAGCATTTATGTATCTTGATTAAGTGTATAAGAGGTATTTGTTAAATTTTCACTATAGGATGATAGGAAAGAAATGAAAAAAGAACTTCTTTAATATTTTTACTATTTTCTTCGTTATTTCAACAATTGTAATTTCTTCGAAATGACGAAAACACGTCATCTAATAAGTTAATCCTTCTAGCTTCTCAAAAAAACTGAAGTCGTTTGGTCCAATTTTTAAAGAAGAGGGTGTATTCGCTTTTACTCCTAGCTGTATGTATTTTCGTTTGATGCAAACACACAACTTTGATGAAGATTTGAAGTATGGTAGATGTGTGTGTGTTTTGAGAAAAAAGGTAGTGCGTAATGGAACAGGTGCGAGCGCAGCGAAGATGATACACTAAGTACGCATGCGACAGCAATCAGTTGTTAGTACAAAATCTATCTCCGCTGGGCGACGAATGAAAGAATGACAGAGCGTATGCGATTAATTGTGTTCTTTTTGCGTTCTTTTTATGAAATATGTGTTTAAGTATAGAACACCTGCGTCAATTATGTCAATAAATGATCAATAAATATTGTTTCTGGGGAATACCATCTCAAGTATTTCCTATGTAATTTCATTAATTAAAGCAAATAAGCATCATTACAAGTACGAATAGAAAAGGTTTATCGTTGCACATATTAGTACGTAAATATTGTTTCATTCTCGAATCTCTCTCGGTCGCGCCATTCTTTTCTTACGTTCGGCGAGAAGCGAAATCTCGCCACGAGCTGTAGGTATTCCATCGTTCTCCTGATGGGCAGAATTGTAATGGGAACATGTGGGAACAGCGTAAAGAAACAATCGATACGATCCAGCACGTGTTGCGAGGTTACATTTACCGACTCCCTCTGTTTTATCAATGCTCGTAGTAACGCTGGCCAAAATGACTGACAAATACCATAAACGCCTCTAACGGAGGATCCTTGAACTATACCGCTGTTTATTTCTGAGTCTGGATGCGTCAAATCGTAGGAACCAAAATGTGACTTCCAGAAGTGATAAAGTGACTCAAATCGAATTTCCACGATAGTGTGATAGTGGTGTACAGGATGGTCTGCTCTGCTTTTGACGAGAAAACCATTAAATCGTGAGATATTTCACAAGATGTGACTTGAGCAGCCATCTTGTGTGTTTCCATCGGTGTCTGTCACAATCGCTCACTTTCTAGATTTCTAATTCTTTCAATTCTACGTGTTTTTTAGTGTTTATACGAACCAGACCACCCTTTAGTGAAGTCTTCCCGTGAGTTCTATACCTGTGAAGAGTTCATTTGTGCAATTATCGAGGCTTCTTTTGGTTCCTACGAAATCGAATGTCTCTCTCGTGCATCGCGACACAGCACACGGGCCACGGAGTTTCCCCCCTTAAGAAATTGAAAAGAATAAAAGGAAATTGAACTCATACGAAAGGGTGATTTTCTCGCTGCATAAATCAAAGATCGTGCCGCTCTAAAGAACCGCCGCGTTGGCTCGTGTAATCTGTCGATCGGCCTTAAATATTGATAACGTTTCGAGTCCACACACACACACAAATGCCGACACGGTGGTTCTTTAGAGCGGCACGTCCTTTGATTTGCGCAGCGAGGGAATCATCCTGTATATTTTTTTGGGGAAAATTTCCCGAAGAATTCAATGGTAATAATTGCAGAAGTGAGAAATAATTTTTTAACTATGCAAATTTATTTTAAAACGAACAGACGAAATAGTGTTTCGTCCGTGCAATTTCGCACTAGTGTGGTGTCTGAGGGTTAAGATCGATGAGAAACAGATAATAGCAGACGATCATGGATATTCATTGTACATTGTATACAGAAACAGTAAGTAATAGACAGACTTATTATTTTGAACAAAACCTTATATGAAAGAAATGTTATTCTATGCTGTTAAAGTATTTTACCATTAAAAATGATGTATTTTTCTTTGCTTCATCAATTCGGCGATATCTTGTATATGAAGAAAATGTAAAGCTTGAATGAAGGCTGTGTTACTTATTATGTTAACGAGTTTTATTTCTGTGTCTCGGACTGAAGTTTTATAAAAATCACCTGAACTGCACGCGACAATGCAATGGTAACCGGCCTGGTAGGATCGAGTGCTTTGGTGTGATGGGCGACTTGTTTAAAATACTCTCCGGCTTCAGGCAGTTGGGTTCTTGGCTCGTTAGCGATGGACCACATGATTACCGAAGGACGATTTTTGTCTCTCCGTATAAGCTCCGATAACGAGTCCTTGTGACGGGCTAGCAGGATCGGCGAGAAGTTTTCTGTGTCCACGGACGGACATTCATTGATAATTAGGAAGCCCAATCTTTAAGAAATAAATACAGTAATAACAATAAATTACAGAAGCAAATTTTTTATTTTATTCTATAAATGATTTTATGATCCCAAGAGAAATAATTATTTTTGACGAACATTAACTGTAAGAAGAACACTTAATTCTGAGAATTCGTAATTTTTCGAAAAGTTAAGCAAAAATTCTATCAAACCTGTTAATGCTTCATTGTTGCTATTACAAGTAATTTGATTTCTGTTACTACTCTATTTCTGTGGTTGTTATATTATTAAACTGAAATCCGGAAAGTCTATCGAAGTTACTGTGCAACGTACTAAACGTAAGACATACGAGTCAAATAAAGTACTGAATTTTTTGGTAATGAAATAATAAAGGTCGCTTATTATAAATTGATACAGTATTAGAAAGATGATAAGAAACATCTTACATTTTACGTTTTTATCGTACTCCATTTAACACATTACCGACCGGCAGCCTATTAATCGGCTTTTTGCCCCGACACTTATCGACCGGTAGCCTGTGAATCGGTTGTCATGGCAACCAATACTTTGTTATCTATTATTCTGGTATAAGTGTTAGATTGTACTACTGTAAGCTCCCATATTGTTATATAATTTTTTAAATGTTAGATACCCTTCGCGATAAATAAAGAGAACGATATTGGAGAGTTTTATTTACAGGAGCTGTCTGGGTCTTGTTCTGACAGTTATTCAGTAAATGATAGTGGTGATGAAAGTGATGTAATTATTCGAAAGCGACGCGGTGCAATGCAACTGGTATATAGTGATTCAGAGGACGACGATTCAAATGACGTTGAAGTCAATGATGATACAAGGACGACGAACGATGAACCAAGAATTTTGGAACCTTTCGAAGACAGCCCCGCCATAAAAATTATGCCGAGTTCTTCAGAAAGTATAATTGACTGTGCAAATTTATTCATTGGAAATGACTTTTTTGAGTACTTGGTGAGGCAATCTAATAGGTATCATTATCAAGTCGTAAATAAATATGAAATAATATCAAAAACGGGGAAATGGACAGATATAACGGTACCAGAGATGAAGACATTTTTAGGACTAGTTTAATGGGACAAGTAAAAAAGAATGCTCCTTACGACTATTGGTCAACTGATGCAAGCATAGAAACTCCATATTTCTCACAAGTAATGAGCAGGACCAGATTTTTACAAATAATGCAGAGCTGGCATTTTTGTAACAATGAGGATATTCCTCTCAATTCGAATAGGCTTGTTAAAGTTCAGCCTGTTATTGATTATTTTAAAAAAAAGTTTCATGAAGTTTATAAACCATTTCAACAATTGTCTTTGGATGAATGTATAATTCCTTGAAGAGGCAGCTTTCGATTAAAACATATAATCCAGCAAAAATAACAAAATACGGAATACTTGTAAAAGTGCTATGTGAATCGCTTGCAGGATACGTCTGCAATTTTCACGCCTATGCTGCCGAGGGAAAAAAATTAGAAGACACTGTTTTAACAGTTATTGAACCTTATAAGAACATGTGGCACCATATTTATCAAGATAATTATTACAACAGTGTCAATATGGCTAAAACTCTTCTACAAAACAAAATCCGAGTATGTGGAACTATTCGAAAAAATAGAGGTCTTCCATTATCACTCCAAACAATAAAACCTTCGAGAGATCAACATGTATTTCATAGAGACCATGATATTTTGCTAGAAGTATGGAATAATGGCAAAAGAAACGTAAATATGATTTCAACAATACATTCGGGAAAATTAATGGAATCTAGAAATAGAAATAAAAGATCAGATGGCCCAATACAAAAGCCTGATTCAATAATGAATTATAACAAATAAATAAAGGGTGTAGATCGCGCGGATCAATATCTATCATATTATTCAATTTTTAGAAAGACAAAAAAGTGGATTAAACGAGTTTAAAGCATACACAGTGCTAAATGGAAAAAAGATTAGGTATAAAAATTTCCTGCACAAAGCGGCACTTTCATGGATAGAAGATTGTGAATCTAAGGAAAACGAGGAAGATTTATTCAATACAGCAAACTTCTGAGCCCACAAGAAGAACATCCAGATTAGACCATCCAGGAAGACTATTAAATTTCGGAAAGCATAAGAGCCTTGTAAATATAGTGACTAGTGGTTGAAGTAAAAACCCTCAAAGACAATGTAGAGATTGTGCAATTAAAAAATAAAGAAGTAGAACATGTTTTGTCTGCAAATTTTGCAATGTTCCATTACATAAAGGTGACTATTTTGAGCGATATCACAGTTTAAAAAAATATTAAATTATTACTTATTTGAAGAAGATTATTATATGAATTATGGAATCTTATATAAATATTAACCTGAAAACAATTCTAATAGATAAAATAAATATTGTTTGATACTAATGTTATGGAAATATAAAAATGTTATTAGATTTAATTACCCTATAATAATAGAAAGCAAATAATATAGTAAGCACTTTCACAAAGTTGGGTTTAACATTTCTATAGGCATAAGAAAAAGCGCAAATAAGTATTCGCACGCGACAGTGTAAGCCAAAACAGAGCCGATGTCAGGGAAGTGTTTACGGCCGAATGACCGGTGAGACGTGTGTAGGACGTCCAACCCTCTACCAGTCGGTAAAGTGTTAATATACATTGTCTTGCATGTTTTTGAATTTTAAACCTTATTTGAACATTATTTGAACAGCATAGACGTACGTGGTAGAAGTCAATGATGGATGTTTCTAAAATCAAGGTTTATGTATAAAAAGAGGCATTTCGTTGAAGAAATTGCTTCCTTTATAATCTAGTAAGTTATAATTTAATCACTGCATTTGAGCCCTTGATAGTATTAATGGGGTAAGTCCATGTTTGATGAATTTTAGTTAACATCGTAGTAGATAGCCCTAACTTTACTAAATCTTGTGTATAAATGGTGTATGTTTAGTATCACTAATAACTCCACAGAGGGTGTTGAATATACCATCTTAAGGTCCCATTCCATTTTAGCAGTCGGACAAAAATGGTGATACTCAGGAAATTTTTGTAAAGAAAACAAAGAAGTTATGGCAAAAAAGCTTCCTGGTCTTTATTTATAATACATTCAGATAAATAAAAAAATCTTTTGTTTCAAAATTTCTACATTGTAGGTGGCGCTCATCGAGTTGATCCGAAATTGCACTGTACATAAACAAACGGTGCCGATCATACTGTAAAAAGTTATTACAACTGATTTTAAAAATTCTTGTAACATTATTTTTATAATTCAATCAGCTATCGCAAGACCTATTATTGAAAATTTTAAAGCATAAATTCTTTTCTTATTCACGAGACTATACGTAAAGTGTCCTCCTTGTTTTTGCATGCTTTGTTGAAACTTATACCAAATACGGTAATTTTATTTTTTCAACTTCAAGATAGGTCGTGCGATAGACATTCAAATCTTTTAGAAATTTGGATTTCGGACTAAGGTAAATGTCCCAGTGGTTGGACGTTTAAGGCGAAGATTGCGGTTATGAAGACTTTTTATACATTAAAATAATATAGATTGACAAAAAAGTACATTCAATCGATAGTTAAACAACTTTTTCTTCCAGACAAGTCGTTATAAGACAGCGTTCACGTGAAAAAAAGTATTAAATCTATGAATATCTAAAATCGGTAATTTGGCCGAGTCATTGGACGGAATTTACGGCATGTCCTAATGATTAAATTTAGCTGTTCCAGTGTTTGGACATAACATTCAATAAATTATTCAGAGCTGATTTTTAATAGTAAAACGTGATACTTTTCTTTTATGTTGTGAAAATTCAAATAAAAACGTACCAAATGCAATTTAATGCAATAAATAAAAGAAACAAAATTATTAATAAATAAAATAATAAAAATTATGAACTAAATCTATAAATGTATACATTAGGAAATTGTGCATTAAAAACAAACATAGTGGATTTATTTTTGGTTTATTATAAACGTTTTATAGAAAATATATATTATAAATAAAACACAATTAAAATTAAACAAAATCAACAAAATTCAAATTATTCCTTTTTTTGTTCTTGTTAAGACATGGCTACATATGTCGACGGGTCACGGGGGCGTTTGGCACACGCTGCAACGATCCGTGGTACGCCGGAGAGAGAGAGTATCGACCATTAGGACGGGTGCGCTCTTCGACCCAGAACGCGAGCAGTGGTCCCTGATGAAGCTGATATTTACTCTTCGGAGAAATTTCGGTAAAGTCCGGTGGGCTGTCGTCTCGCGTCGCGTTCCTTGCAGACTATACGGTGGGGGGAGGGCGCGATCTACTCTATTCCGTTTTCCTCACTATTAAACTCACACACCCAGCTTTCGATTAGACTAGACTCACATGGCGGTGGATTCATTTATGGTCCACCGCGGCTCCCAGGGGAGGTGATCGCCGAACCCGACCACGTCTCTCCTTGAGGTCGGCTAGAACGGCCTCCCCATGTATCGCTGTTGGAGTCCCGGGACTCCCTCCTTGTCCTTGAAGGGGGGTGGTAATTTTTGATATGGGTAACCAGAGGAGGGGGGGTTCCTGAATTATTTGGGACATAGTCAGGTAATTGGATAGGGGTTGAAATAGGCGATACAGCTCTCTCTCGATGATGGAACGTACGCAAGCACGATGATTCCACCCCTGGTACAGACTCGGTCTGTGGGTGAAGCAAAGAGTCAGCCGGTACTCACTTTGGAGACGAAGGATCGGTTGCCCCGACGACCATACTCCTTTAGCTAATTTTATTAGGTAGGGATGGGACGATCCTAGTGACTCTCCACCCCCCGCGCGAGTAATTCCTCGCCACCATCTGGCCCGGGCCTAAAAAAGTTGGTCGAGTTGGAAAGCCGGGGGAAATAGTATCCCCGAGTAACGCCCACCGCAGCCCTATTGCAGGGCTGTGAGATAGCTACCGGCGCTCGAGCCACAGCTGCGGCCTTGGGGGGGAAATCGAACTTCCCCTCTCCCGGGAGACCTGAGCACTAACTAACTAACTAAGACATGGCTGCGCCATCTGTCCGCTGCGATCGGGGACCATACGCGTCACGTGGTCGACTTCCAGCGGCTACCACGTCTCGCCTTTGTTAAGCACTCGGTGATTACGCCACGCGAGCTATTCTCTTGTATATCAGTATATCATTAAATCTCGTATTTAAGCAACCAAGTAGTGCGGAATCATTAAACGGTCCACTGTCCTATTCTACAGTTCTTAATATTTTTAACACTTTTAGCAACTTTCTTGGCAGCAAATTTTTGTTTTTTTCTCTTCTAGCTTTTCTTTTTTAATACGCTTCTTTAATTCTTCTTCTTGGAAGTCTTATTGTTATAAAAAATTCCCGAAACGAAAGAAATAAAATAAAAAGGTGATTTTTAATGAATGTTCAGTACGCGAATCGGTTAGGTTACTGTTATGTCAAGGTAATATAATATTTGTGTACGAAATATGTATACAAACTATGAGCTTCCAAAACTAAATATTGTTATTAATATAAAAAACACAAAAATACTTACTGTAATATAACGAAAATAATTTTTTAAGTCATACACTAACTCTCTGCTCGATGCTGCTCGAGTGACTGGACAAGCGTTCAATGACTACGCAATCAGCACTCTCATGTACTAGTAAATGAACTCGGTAATTTTGACATTAAAAGAAAAAGATTTTATTAAACCAAAGTTGCTATCAATTCTGGAGACTTTAATAAGTTCAAGAACCATTACTTGTTAAAAAAATGCGCTCTCAATGTTAGCGAAACATTTACGAAGGCATTTATGTCGCCTCAAGTTCATCATTGCTAAATGATAATATTATTTTTACATAATGCATCGCGCTTTTGCGAACATTTTTATATGATTTATGGTAAGTAATAACTAAGGATAATTATTTTTTATCCTGAAGTTCGCTATTATTTTTTAAACATTTAATATTAACAAAAATTCACGATAGTGTCTAATCACTGGGACGTATCCAACCACTGGGACATTTACCTTACTCTACATCGAGATATCGTAGGTATTGTTTGTACAGTACAATTTTGGATCAATACGATTAGCGCCACTTACAATTTGTCACGCTGTACGAATTGTCAGATTATTGGGAAATAATTAACGCGAGACACATATTGACGATTTATAACACACGGTTTATTATGATGAATTAGGAATTAGAATATAAAAGATACTTAAATTAGCAACCGACTCGTGCGCGTATACATCTCCGACTAGTACGTCTTCATGCTCATGCAGGACAGACCGGTTCTCAACTGACTAAATGTGCATACTATAGGAGGCGTGCTCAGGCGAGTTGATCAAATGGCGCGAAGGTTCCAATATTCCAATACGAATATTGAAAACAATTTTTTTTATTTACTCGAATGTATAATAAATAAAGGCCTAGAAGTTTTTTTTATCATATCTTCTTTGTATTCTTTAAAAAAATCCTAAATATCGCCTTTTTTTCGGGCCGCTAAAGAGAAAAGCCTTAATATGAGTTGATATTGGTCCATATTATAATAATATAATTATACAGATATAATCAGTATACTCAATGTAATTATCATACTTAATTATGACGTCATCATACACATAATGATCAGACAGTCAGTATAATAAGTATATTTGGATACACTCATATGAGTATGAGTATATCAATTTAAGGAGTATTTTGCAAGAACTTTTCTAAACCTCTAAATTACTGAAAAGCGTGTTTATTGACTTAAATCACTAATGCTTTCAAGGGTTTATTTGTTCATTTCTGTTATTATGACAACTAACGGATAAGAATTGAAGTAATCCTTACCGATCAGCCAAGTCGAGTACTTCGTCGCTGTAAGGATAATGGCTTGTCCTGTAAGCATTCGCACCGACCCATTGCAACAACTCGTGATCCCTAGTCATCGTCACTAAATCCAAACCCCGTCCTCTTAGAGATGAATCTTCATGTCTACCAAATCCCCTCATGTACACCGGTTTATCGTTAAGCAGGAAACTGGTATTGGTCCAGATCAACGTTCTGATTCCAATCGGTAGTCTATAGATATCTACTTTGGTGTCGTTCGCCACGGTTAAGGTGACCTGAGTTTAAAGTTAAGTTTGAAACATTTCTGTAATTTATGCAATGAAAAATGAGAATTCAACGAGAAACAATCACTACCTTTGAACTATTGAATGGATTTAAGACAAGTCTCCATATACAGGGTGTTCAACAACTAGTGGGAAAAAATTTAAGGGGTGATTCTTTGAAGCAAAATAAGACGAAAATCAAGAATAACGAAATTGCGAAAAATGCTTTGTTTGTTAGTTATAAGCGTTTAAAGATTGATCCAAATTATGGCAATCCGCGCGCACGGAGTGTCAGCAGATCACGGCTCATCAGGGGCGTACAGTCACTTTAAAGACTCAACGACGTAAGGAAAAGTCGGTAGAACAGCTGTCTACTTACCCCGTAGAAGATGTCGATAACTTGTGCCCGCGGTATTTGAGTCGAATCCACTGGTATCGCATTAACTCCGATTACTCGATAAAATTCGCAAGAAATGTAAACATCTTCATACGAATATTATCGAGTAGAGAGGGTTAATGCCTCCTCTAGTTGTCACGTATCATAATTGTCCTGTCCACGAGTATCCATGGAATTAATCCGCACATGCACGTACACCACAGATGTCCGTGAAAAGTGTCCACACACACTGCACCATTGTCCCGTCCGCGAGTGTCATGATAGCAACTGTTCAAAATGTCCACCATTCTCTTCTGTGCACAATGAAAAGGCGGCGAAGTAAATTTGTATGTATTCTGCGAAAATTTGGCATGGTGTTTGTTATAATGCCTACTGAAAAGCATATTCGTTGCTCCAATTCCTCCACGGAGTTCACTGGTGTTGAATATACCAGTGTTTTTAAATGTCCCCAGAAGAAAAAATTTATGGGATTTAAATCCGGTGATCGCGCAGTCCAAGGAACTGGACCTCCTCTGCCTCCTCTGCCAATCCAACGGTCCCCGAAATATTCATTTAAATGTTCTCGAACGGCTATGGTGTAGTGTGGTGGTGCGCCATCGTGCATAAACCACACGTTTCTTCTTATTGGGAGTGGCACGTCTTCTAAGAGGTCCGCTAATTGATTTACCAAGAACTCGCGATATATTTGTCCAGTTAAACGGGCAGGCAAAATAACAGGACCTATAATTTGATTTCCTAATATTCCTGTCCAAACGTTAAGTCAAAATTGACGCTGGGTATGCATCTCACGTACCGCGTGTGGATTTTCATCAGCCCAGACGTGCTCATTGTGCTGATTCAGTACGCCCTGTTTATTAAATGTTGCCCCATCCATAAATAATATTTTTGAAATAAAATTAGGTGTTCCTTCTGTTTTTGCAATCATCCATGTGCAGAAGTTTAATCGTCTCTCCAGATCCGCCGGTTCCAGTTCTTGCACTTGTTGACAATTATAAGGATGCAATTGTTCTTCCAATATTCGCCACACAGTGTTGTTGCTTACCCCTTCTTGAACTGCAATGGTTCTGATGCTCGTGTGTGGATTTCTTTCAATGTGTTGCAGTACCCGTACTTCGAAATCTGCGTCGCGTTGATTGTATCCGCCGGTTTTTCGTGGAATAAACATCCCGTGATTTCGCAAACGGTGGGCCACTCTGGTAAAGGTTTTCACCTTTGGTCCGGTTCTGTTGGGGAACCTCTTGAGGCATTTCCATTTGCGCTCCCATAAATAAAATGAATTTCATCAAATTCTTGGAAGCTGTATTCCATTTTGGTATCCAAGGGTTTACACCACAGAAATCCGCGAAAAATGTTCACACACTCCGCGATTAATTACACCCGCGAACGGTTCCTCCGTTGGGTTTAACACACAAAATAATTCATTTATAACTATTTAACACTAATTTTTCACCTAGTCTAATTAATTTATAACATGTGTTTATACTAATTCTTAACACGCTATAATTAATAAAACCTACAATATTTTATAAAACCTGCAATAATTAATAAAATCTACAATATTTAATAAAACCTACAATAATTAATAAAATCTACAATATCTAATAAAACCTACAATTAATAAAATCTAAAATACTTAATAATATCTACAAAATTTAAAAAATCTACAATAATTAATTTTCACTATTCATAACGACGACATACGCGACACTACTAAAGAATCACTACATAATCGCTAAATAAACTAAAACTTAGTTTTCCGAACATGAACTCTATTTGCTCGTAGAATGCAAAGCGCACTGTTCGGAAAGGACAACTGATATTGTTGAACTAATCCTCCCTCGTTAGGATCGATATGGCGTAATAGGTCGATCCCCACTCTTTTAGGGTCAATACTTTTTGGGAAGGAAAAACTGCGTGGGAAAGTGTCTTGGAGGTCGCGTTTCTTTTCGTATATTCTTAGAGCAATATCTGTATTTTTTTCTCATACACCACTCGGGGCCTCGGGGCCACTGGGCCACGATGCCGAGGGTGTGCGAGTCTGGACATTATAAAACTATCTCTTGTCTTCTGCAGGACGACCACCCACGGATTGCCTGTAACGTGTTACTGCCATCGACGAAGACCTTGCCTATTGTGATGTCAGCTGTCCCTCTTGACATTAACTTGTAAAAGGAACTTTCAATGTCGAATGCCAACTCTATGTTAGAAACGGTTCATATTATACCGAATGTATGTGTTTAAAAATTTTATCTATTTTATTGTATGTATGGTCTGTTTTTCGAAAGATGATGCCTGGGAGGTTGGCCTGCCTGGGTGCATGGCCTAGCGGGGATCCAACGTGAGCTACGTATTTCGTGCGACGTCATGACGGTCTCATTGCCACTGTGTGTGTCTCTTTCCAACCTCCAGCACTTCGGCACGAGAGCCTCTCGCTCAGACGCTCGGTAAACCAACTTCCTTCTTTACCCTGCAATTTCCACGTGTAGCGTTTAATAACCTACGTATTAATTTAATCCCTTTTTAATATGTTGCTCAATATTTGGGTACAATCCATTCTTTCAAAAGAAATAAACTTTTTCTTATTCATGTATTTTAACTTTTGACGTGTGAAAACGTTCTGCGTCTCGTTAATATTCTCCGCCATTTCCAGACAATGGATGATTGATGGCCACGTGCCGTCAGGTACCCACGTGCTCGATAGGTTTGTAACACGTGTGATGGGGGCAGACGACCGTAGGCGAGGACTCACGTCGACGGTCGCACGTCATTGGCTAAGACGCGAAGAGTGAGAGAGACACAAGTGCCGTAGATGTCTCGCGATCGCGGCAACACCGCAAAAACTCGGGCCTACCTCCCAGGCATCATCTTTCGAAAAACAGACCATAGTTTCTTCATGCATCGTAATGCAGGTGCGGCAAATTTCATCTTAGTTTCATTCTAATATCATTATACGTTTTCTATGATCCATGTTAATTGCATATTATTTTTTTGCGGACACAAGAAACTTGTAGTAAGATCGAAGTGGTAATAAAATGTGCAATGCACATAAACCATACAGTAAGTCCATATTCAATATTTCAGGAATAAACAGCGGCGCGCTCCGTTTCAGGTAGCAAGCCGCCTTCTTCGTTCGACCGTAAGCGGCTGGTGTCATTCATACCTGAATGACTTTACATTTAAGGTGTGACTGTGTGGACGAGCTTGTCCTCCATCGCGGGGTGCCGAATGATGTTTTTGAACGAGTGCATGCGTTAATTGCTTATCGTTCGAAGCTTCGCTCGATAGGATAATATTTTCCTGAAATATTGAATGTTGACTTACTGTATGTTTCATGTGCATTGCATATTTTATTACCACTTCGATCTTACTCCAAGTGTTTGAAGTTCTTGTTTCCGCAAAAAAATAATATGCAATTAACATGGATCATACAAAACGTATAATAATATTAGAATGAAACTAAGATGAATTTTGCCGCACCTGCACTACGATGCATGAAGAAACTATATAAAATAAAATAAAGGAAATTGTTAAACACATACATTCTGTGTAGTATGAACCGTTTCTAACATGGAGTTGGAATTCGATGTTGAAAATTTTTTTTCAAGTTAATGTCAAGAGGGGTGGCCGAAAACATAATGAGCATGGTCTTCGCCGATGGCAGCAACACGTTGCAGGCAATCCGCGGGTGGTCGCACTGCAGAAGACGAGAGACAGTTTTATAATGTCCAGACTCGCACACACTCGGCATCATGGCCAAGTGGCCCCGAATGGTGCATGCGAACAAAATACAGATGTTTCTCTAAGAATATACGAAAAGAAACGCGACCTCCAAGACACTTTCCCATGCAGTGTTTCCTTCCCAAAAAGTATTAACCATGAAAGAGTGGGGATCGACCTATTACGCCATATCGATCCTAACGAGGGAGGATCAGTGCAACAATATCAGTCGTCCTTTCCGAACGGTGCCCTTTGCATTCTACGAGCAAATAGAGTTCATGTTCGGAAAACTAAGTTTTAGTTTATTTAGCGATTACGTAGTGATTATTTAGTAGTGTCGCGTATGTTGTCGTTATAAATAGTGCAAATTAATTATTGTGAGTTTTATTAATTATTGTAGGTTTTATTAAGTTTTGTAGATATTATTAATTATTGCAATTTTAATTAAACATTGGGGGTTTCTTAATTGTAGCGTGTTAAAAATTAGTATAAATAGTTGTTATAAATTAATTATTGTAGGTTAAAAATTAGTGTTAAATAGTTTTAAATTAATTATTTTGAGTGTTAGTTTTGTGTAACCTGTAGAGTGTTAAACCCAACGGAGGAACAGCTCGAGGGTCCACTTAATCGCGCAGTGTGTGAACATTTTTCACGGTCGGGACAATCGTGCAGTGTGTATGGACATTTTTCGCGGACGTGACAATCTTGCAGTGGGTGTGGACACTTTTCCATGGATACTCATGGACAGGACAATTATGATACGTGACAACTGGAGGGGGCATTAACCCTCTCCACTCGATAATATTCGTATGAAGATGTTTACATTTCTTGCGAATTTTATCGAGTAATCGGAGTTAATGCGATACAAGTGGATTCGACTCAAATACCGCGGGCACATGTTATCGACATCTTCTACGAGGTAAGTAGTCAGCTGTTCTACCGACTTTTTCTCACGTCGTTGAGTCTTTAAAGTGACTGTACGCCCCTGATGAGCTGTGATCCGCTGACACTCCGTGCGCGCGGATTGCCATGATTTGGGTCAATTTTTAAACACTTATAACTAACGAACGAAGCATTTTTCGCAATCGAAGCATTATTCTTGAGTTTCGTCTTATTTTGCCTCAAAGAATCACCTCGTAAATTTTTTCCCACTAGTTGTCGAACACCCTGTATAAAATGCCATTTTTTTAAAACAAGTGGACTTAATACACTCTGGCTCTGGGGTTTAGATATGTATATTATAAATTGAAAAATATCTTGGAAGGCAGGTGTGGTGTTGAAGGGAATACGATTATTGGCGTACGAAACGTAAAACGTTAACTAATTCCGAAATAGATCACGCATATTTTCAACAAACTTGTTCTGATATAACTTTTGTATTGTGTACAATAAATTTCGATTGCATACAACGTGCAAATGAAATTTTGGTTTTTAGTAACTCTACTCGATTTCGTAACAACTTATTTTCTGTGGATGTTGTAATTATTTACTATGATTTCAACCTTTGGGTATTGCGTGACCAAGTTTCATCAGTCTGTAATTAGCTACTGTTGTTTCTGATGTGCTTTTTGTAAGGAAGTTCTTTATTGCTATTGTTTTTCATAATATTTGAAGAAAGTTCTTAATTCAGTCAGCCTTTAAAGGAAAAATAAAATTTTATCTAGAACGAAGCAAGTGTATGGTGCATACAGTATTTGTAGTTTTCTATTACTAGTAACGACTTAAAATCTGATTGTTAGCTTTGCTTTTAAGGTGACAGAAAATATCTAAAAAAAGAACTGACGTAAATTCACGAAGTCTAGATTTTCACCGGAGAATTCATGAATATAAATACAGTGGCAAAATAGACTTTTTCTCAATACGTTTGATAAAAAGATATTCTTATATCTCGTCTGTGATTTAACTCTTCAGTATGTGGTAAGTTCTTCAACCTGGCGGGTTCCAAAACTAGGGGGTTCTACAATGTGGGTTAGCTAACTTGACCATCTCAATTACTCGTAAATTATTTAAATAATATTAATATTAATAAAGTAGTATGGTCCAAACTATTTAATGTTTGAACTTATTTTAATCAGAAGAATCTCACCAACACGTTACAAATATTTATTGATATCTCAGAAACTGTTCGCCCTAGACCCCATATGATTTAATACTTTTTCATGCAGTATTTGATACTTTATCGAAATCCGAGAAGAAATTTTGAGCATTCCATTGAAGAATCGGAAGGTGACCGTTATATCTTGATAAAAAAATAATATAGTAAAAACATTATTGCATTATACGCGCCTCTTGATAACATGCAAAGTTTAAAATATTATTTCATACAGCCAATAATTTACGAGTAACTGAGGTGGTCACGTTAGGTGTATCACCTTGTTTCTCGAAGAAATAGGTCCAAAATATATTCCATAAATAAAAATATATTCCAGAAAGATCCAGAAACGACAATTTGCAATAATAATGAACAAATAGCCGTATGTTAAAGAAATGGATTCAAAATATATTAAGAAAGGAAGATGATAAAACTGTCTTTTGAGGGTTCAGCTAGTGGGTGTTAGGGTAGCCAGCAGTCTAAAGTTTCCCCATAACAATCTTCACCTTCTTGAAACAGCATCAGCTGTCCTCGATCGAAGAATACTACTGCAGTTGAATAACAAAATACTATACCTCTAGGTTGTACATGTATCCCGGGCTAGGACTCATACCCCTGGGCCACCAGAGTTTTGCGAATGGTACTTTCAGCGTACCGGAAAATCCATAAACCGGATCCTTTATGGCTAGAGAATCCTCAGCGTCGAGCAGGCTTACTCTGCAGATTGGAGTTTCGTGCTCGTGTAAACCAGCCGGTTGGATGATGTATTTCACAATACCTATATCACCAATTAACCCGGTCCTTACCGTGATATCCGTGACATATACACGCGGTTTCGTGTGCAGTAAAACGGGCCTGCAAGTAATGGATTTTTCGCGTTAATATCTGACGTGCATCTGACATTTCATAGAAAGCCGCAACCGGCTGTGAATCCGCCGATGGATATCCTCCTTTTTCCTGATAAATCGATTGTTTTGCGCTGGTGGTTCACTTTTGTCCGTCACAATGACACCGATGATAGTAATCTGCTAGTCACCGAGAAACTTTTGACGGTTCAGAGAGCGTGAATTTTTTTCGGAAGCTGGACAGTCGGGTTAACTGGTCAACTGTGATGTTGTTGGGTTGTTAGCCTTCCAGAGAATAGCATTATTTTTTTTAGCAACAGTATCGTATGGTTTGTGACTTGATGTATTTGTTATTGGATATTGATCATTATTATAAAATCTAAAAAATTTGTTTCGTGTTTAAAAGCATATTATCGTTAGGAAAGTTCTACTGCGATTTTAAAGAAAAAGTTAATTAATAAAATCAAAGTTGAATTTTAAATGATAATAAGTAAATTAAATGAAAATAATAGTAATAAATGTTTGGTACATGAAAATTAGATTTTTTAATATCTATATATTTTTATAACGTATAGATTTCAAATTTAAAAACTGGAAAAATGTAATTAATTAAATTAAAAAGAAAAAGTACAGATTTCATTAGTGAATGAACAATATTCAGTAAATGAACATTTCTGACCAATGGCGCGAAAATTGCTTGAATATCAAACAAGGAATTCAAAAATATCAATACGTAATTGTTTGCTTATTTTAATAATTTAATTTACTCGTTTTTATATAGTATAACGTTCATTCACTTGTACCGTGCATTCACCCTCCTTGAACTTACAGGGTAAGTCAGTAAGAATTGATATTTAAAATAACTCGTTACCTATTCGTTGTATCAGAAAACGTTGTATGAATTATGTAGCATTTTAAGGGACGCATTTCATGGATACAATATGATTTTTTTATATCTTATCTTCTTTGAAATCTCAAGGTTATTTTGAGTTTTTCAAGGTCAATACACCTGTTTTGTAATACCATGTTGTTGTTGATGGAAGGACAAATTCATGCGAATCATAACATGAAGGTATTAAAAAAAGATGTTATATCCTCGAAAAAATTCATGGTCACCTTGATATCTCAGAAGAAATAAGACAAAAAAATCATATTGCGTCTTTCCAATGCGTCCTTTAACATGCTACACAATTCATTAAAACGTTTTTTGATACAATTAATAGGTAACGAGTTATCCCAGATAGTAATTCTTATTGACTGACTCTGTATATTGAAAAAATACAATATTCTTATTACGATCAATTTTTGTCAGGAAGAGGCTCAATACTCATCAAAAGCAGTGTAGATATTTACTTGCCTGTGGATGCCGGCATAGTTGAAGAAATCGAAAGTGTAAGTTTGTGTATGTATAGTTCCGTTGTCGACGGCAGTGTCGATAATTCTTCCTTGCGGCACGCTTGTTTGCAGCAGTGTATTATCCACAGCCACTGTAATGCGATTTTTACCACCGTAAAGGAGATAAGAAGAGATCTCCGCTTCAAATGGCAGATGACCCATTTCGTGGTTGGTTACGAGACCACCATTTACCCACTGAAACGTACAAATGATGGAAGAATTCCATACATCTTACATTTTAGTACACTTACAATATCGGACAAAATTATCACAACTTGAATGTAATAATTCTTTGAAGATCAATTTCCTCAATATGCTCTATATTAATTAACGAAGTGTATGGATTTTATTAAGATCATTAACTCGCTAACATCACACTAGTAGCCAATTGTTCCGTCTGTAACATTATATTCGGCTAGCATAACGGTTTGAAATTTTTATAATAACAAATTATTTTTTACTTTTGCAATAATTATTCCCATTGAATTTCTAAGGAAATTTTACCTCAAAAAATATATTATGTGTTTAATTTGCTTTTATTTTTCTCAAGTTCTTAATCGTCACAAATTCAAAATCCTAATTTGCACTAGTGCGGTGTTTACGTATGCTGAGGTGGGATGTGGTGCCTGAAAGTTAATATTATATTTAAGAAAATAGCGCCCAAGGAAATCTATACAGAAAAATGTTAAGAAAATTAATATTCAAAGAATTATCATACTTAAGTTGTTGTTGTTATAGTCTTGTCCGGTACTGTACATGTATACATTCTTTAGCGAATAATTTCACTAGGATAAAAGAAGCGAAATCAAACGAGTTCGATGCAATGTCTAGGCTACTTTACTTAGGTTCTAGATATTTTATCAACTAATATACAGTAGCGGTTATAAGAATTTCAATAATCAAACAACTTAGAGAGGAGAAATACATTTTGCAATTATAGTTATATTTTGGCACAGATACACGAAAAGTGTAAAAGTTATGGGATTATGTCATAGAGTTTTTTATCAATAGATAATGATGTTTTTTGTTGTGGACATGAGTATCGTCACGCGCCTATTATTCGACGAAGGCAATAAATGTAATATGTGCAGATGAAACATCAGCCAGTGAACGTTTCTTATTTTGAAAAATGACATTTATTAAATGGGAGGAACAATTGTCTAGACTATTGCAGTAAGTATTAATTAATGTATATTTTTGCATACTTATAAACTACACGCTTGTTGTATGCGAAAGTTACATTAAGTCTCCTTTTTTCGAGCTACGAAAATTGATGTTTTATTTCGTAAATATTATTGTATCTTATTTAGTCTGGTTCAGACTATGGTCCAATTGATAAAACGTTGAAGAAAATATTGAATAACTCATTTCGTATAAGAGCATAGAGGAAAGTCAAGTAATAGCCATATTGGGAGCAGCTTTTAGACACAACACACAATGATTTTTATTTAGGTAATTAAGAATTACTAATAGTAAGTATTTAAAATTTTGTTCGCAATTAATTAAAATACCAAGAAAACTCTAGAAAATTTAAATTCTACGTTTAATAGCTTTTCTTTCGTTTTTTCTCGCATTCAGGTCCATAGTATTTTTACTTGTATAAATATTGAGTTGAACGGAAAGTTCGTGCGTCTTTGGTGAAACGTCTCTAGACCTACAATAATTTTACGACGATCGTATTGCATAACTCGTGGAACCGTGGGAAAAAGTACTATACACTGATGGAAATTACGTCATTGATTGAGTAAATCATTTGCTGTAAAAACAGTACAGTGGAATTTATTTAGAATAAAGCGCATGAACTTTCCCTCAATCTAATATTTCAAAAGTTTTTATCATTCAGATGACTAATTTGTTCTATTTTTGACTACTTTTGACTACTTTTGACTGCTTTTGACTACGTTTGACTACTTTTGACTACTTTTGACTGCTTTTGACTGCTTTTGACTACTTTTGACGAATTTAGACTAATTTTTTAAATAGAATTATTACTATCGTTGTCAAGTATTGAACGTCAAATGGAAAATTTTTACACTAGCCTTCTATGTATAACTGGATTTGAATAGACTCATGAATCATGACATCTAATAGTTCCTTCGATAATGATCGTTAAAACTAGAAAATTCATAGATATTTTCACTATTAAGTACTTACTACTTCCGCAAGGTAATTCACTGAGCCAAATCTGACAAAAACCCTTTGCTCTCGCCAAGAAGGGGGCACGAAGAATGTTCGTTGATACCAAACAGCCCCGATGTGGTCCCTGAGTTCTCTCGAGGTGGTGATATCATTATAGGACGAAGGAACTGGCATTTGCATTACTTTTCCTGCCTAACGAAAGGGTGTATGTATATAACATGTGTCTTGTAACGAACCGTAGCCGAAGACGTGCAATTACGTTATATTAAGATTCATGCAACGTGGCGTCCCGTATCATTATGCAACAATCGTGTCTAACGAGGGTCATTATCGAAATGACTGGAGTAGATCTTATGTTTAATACATATTATGTTGATGAAGGGATTATAACTAAACGCACGTCAAGTTTCTTTATTTGTGTTCAATTTCAAATTCAAGTGGTGAATAACTGTTTGGAGGTTGAAATTATTCTTATTAATCCGGCGATTGTGTGGTTAGAAAATGTAATGCTTAAAGGATGTTTTTGCATTTATAGCATCTCTTAACTTGAAAAATGTAATAAAATAAAGGTTTTAATAAAGTTTAACCCCCGTTTATGATTTATTGTTAACGTAACAAAGTGGGTGGTACAAAAATTCCAAATTGTGCATAATTTCAATCGCCATATATTAGAATCTCAAATTGTAAATTTGCATTAACTTTCGCAGTCTAGTAATGACCCAAAAGTCATTAATTACAAATAATGGGATGTCACATACCTCTATCCAGTTTTTTTAAAATTTTGAATTTTGCATATAAAATTTCTTAATGTATTATGAAATCTGTGTTCTTTTATTCGTGTTTAGTTTATCTACACACAAAATAATTACAAGTTGGTCTTTATTCTTAGATATAACGAAAAAATATAAATACTCAGTAAGAAAGAACTTTCTTACTATTTTCAAAGATTGTAGCGTATGTCATACCCCACCACATAACCGCCGTGGTAAAGAATCGGTTTTGTTAGCTGGTTGTGAGAAATGGACATATCTTGAAGAAACGAAGAAAATTCAAGAATTCAATAAAAAGCTTCGAGAAGAATTTAAAAGCTGGTAACGTTATAATATTTTTGGGGCGAAGAGTAATTTAGCGTAATATACTTTTGACATAATTGTATTCATTGTCGTACACGTATAGAATAAAGTATTATTTAATTTATGTGTAAATGAGGAATAGCGATTTAATAAAACGTTCTCATCTACCTCTTTTAGTACGTTGGATTTTCTTCATTACTTTTTCTATGAAAAATAATTTTATCTTAATTATAGTTCCAGTGCACCTTAATTAGTTCTGTTATTGTATTAATAAATCCTCAAAATTATTAAATAATGAATCATAGTTTGTAATTTGGTTAATAATACCTTGGATAAATCGTTGGCAAACCATGCTTCCTTGTAGCCCTTGAGTGCATCTCCCGATGGGGATACAACGAAATCCCACATACCGTCTAGAGTTTTCAGCTAACAGAAATTAACATTAATCGTCAGAAACATTTTTCTATAGAAATGTAATGGGCTTTTCAACCTAATGATGTACTGTTATGGGACATTCTAAATAATTTGCGTGATATAGGAAAAGATAACTGCGAATGACATATCTCGACAACTGTAAGTATCACTAGTTTACAGTCATTTGGTGATCGAGACTCCACCATGAAATTCTTATGTAAGGTGGTCCCCTAAACTTCAAAGTCGACATGAGACAAAATCTTAAAGATACGTGTTGGAAATATTGCTCGATGAATATTTTGTTAATTTTTTAAAAAGACGATCCGACGTTTTTGGCCATATCTCGCGTTAGAGTTGATCGATTTGATCGCGACGACTCTTAAATTAAAGGTAATTACATTATATACAATTGTTTGATACATTGTTTTCCAATCGGACCAATAGTTTAGGCGATATTGAGCGAAACTTAAGAAAAATGTAATTTTTTGGGGCCAAACTTCAAATCGAAAATTCAGTAGATCGCCTAGAAAACTGTTACGTTGCCCGCGATTTCGGCCGGTCGCGCGGCCGGCACACGGCACGAACAAAGTGCTTTCCCCCCGGTCTCCGCCTACGTTCGCGTCCCCGCGAATCCCTCCGACCGTTTTTCCGGGCGCCAAGTACGTTTTCCCGTACCGACCGATACTCCCCGAGTATCGGACCGAAACCTGCCCCTACCGAGGGGTTGAACTCTGCCGAACGACCGAGGAGAAAGCACCCTCCACCGGATGTTCACAAGACGAGGGTTTCCAGGGTTCGCAAATATCGGAACGATAGACTTCCCTCGCGACAAGGATTCCCGTCGGACGACACAGACACGAAAAATAAACGTTCAGAAGGAGTTAACAGAGCAAATAACAATTTATTTCCGTTTTCTTTCGCCGGCCTCTGACGAGACCGCGTTACAACAGGTGTTGGTGGTTTAGCGACGGAAAGGAAAACAATTCAGCGGTCGACTATCGTCGCGGCCCGCGCCTTCGGTATCACCGGATTCCGGTACGAGACTCTACTCTTCGCTATTACACGGTCTCCGACCGCTCGAGATGTTTAATACGAAATTTACAGAGGCGCGGTCGGACGGTACTACGATACCGCCGATAACATAATGCGATACAATGACTTGAGCGGCAGTCGCGTAGCTTCTGCGTCCTGGAGGAAAGCTGCCCGGAATTTTCGATATTACTATTCCCGAGGAGCCGCCGTGGCTCTCCCGCGCGCGCTAGCGAGATACGATATTAATTCTCCGATCGCGACATAATCGGGCAAACGAGATCTAGATTGCCGTACGAGAACAGAAGAGAGAGCTCACTTACAGTGGTCGATGATCCTTCCCTCGATCTCGCTCCCTGCCGGGTCTCGGTACACGCGCGATACGTTATTTCGACTTCACTCGCTAAGACGGGCCACTCAAGTGACGATTTCGGGGCTCGTTACGCGACGCGATGATCTAGCGGGCCCCCCACTAAGCAGTCCTATTGCCCCTCGTACCCTCCCCGTGACTCCTGTGGAGCCTTGCTCCTTCGGCCCAGGGACGACACGCCGAGGAAGGATCCCCTGGCCACGGAGATCACTTCCCTTGTGTGAGGAGCCCAGTCTGACACCCTCCTACGTGGTTGCTGCGACTCCTCACGGGTTCCCTGCCCTCTGACTCCTCCATCGTGGGGTCCTTCTGCGGAGGAAGACGTCCGGGTCGCCGATCCTTATCCGGTGGGTGGTTTCCTGTTGCCCCCTCGGCCGACCAAGCGCCTCTCGAAGCCCAGGCTCGATGCGAGGGCAGGCCCTTTTTCCTCCTGTCCTATCCCCCTGGGATAGGACCCTTATCCGGTCGAGCGGCCGCTCGACAGGATTCCGGGGCGGTCCCTGCAGCAGAGTCGGTGGGTACGGGCGGGGTCGGTGGGTACGGCCCTGCAATCGCGAGCGGTACTCGGCGCGAGATAACCACATGGTTAATACAGGTTCTAACGGTATTATTCCCCTCAAATCCTCCAGGAGCGCTTCGATCTTATTTCGTGCAGGCAGGGAGCGGCGGAGGGTCGGTTCGGTTCTCAGTTCTGCCGCGCCCGAGTCAAACTTCGGGCGGGAAGGGGCACGGCGCAAAATGCGTCGTAACAAAACGTAGAAATTATTCTATGACGTCCAGTTACTTATTTGTTACATACCTTTACAAAGAAAACAATCCCAACCTGAGCAAAATCCATGGACAAATAAGGAAGTTAGAGGCGATAAAGTGGGAGTGCCGATTCTCAATTTTTTTCCTATTTCTTCCTGTTTCTTGGCGAATTACATATTTGTCTTAAATGAAAACAAATTTAAATGTAATTTTTCCACGTCTTTATTTGTTGTTAATGTTATTCTTCAATCATATTTCGAATTTGAAGTACTTATTGCGGCCTTTTCCAGGGATTTCGTTTAAAGGAGATAAATCAGGCCTGAATCCTCACCCGTGGAGCCCTAAAGAACTCTGCTCGTTAGGAAATTTTAGACTTCTTTTAAAGGAGACTGTTGCGTCCCTTATGCATCGCAATTCCCCTTTTTTTATTCTGAGAATTTACTGGGTTTGTAAGGCCCAATGCACTTGTTCGTGACGATGCACGGGTCGCTGGATTGCGTCAATGATTTAACACAATCCTCGTTGAAAATGACAGGATAACTAATTGATTGGATATTGATTAACAATAAACTCACAATTATTTAGTGATTGTAAATAGAACAACAAACTATTAATACAACTATTGAACGATGAATAAATGACGAAGTATAATACACAATGTAAGTTATGTGATTACACCGGAGTCTTATACGTAAGTGTATACAGAGCGCAAGTTGTTGCTGACTATGTCGCTGTTGCTGGTAGACTGCCTTGGAAGTGGAATTGAAAAGCCATAAAAATATACGTTTTGCCTGATTGGCTGAAGGATGGAGGCGGTTGCTAAAGATATTGACCACTGATTGCTTGCCCTGAAGGAGGAGAAATCCGTTGGATTTTCCAAGACGTTATGGAAGGGGAACACCTCTCCCTCAGGTTGACGTATTCATGTGCAAACCATTAAGTTGGTCGCTCAAGGTTTGACTCGATCGGGCGAACTCTGCGCATACTCGAAGGGTACAAGTTTATGACCCTTTAGTTCCGAATTTTGTTAGGACCGCTCGGACGGAAACGGCTGCCGACCAAATGTCGAACCTTCGGTCAAGAGATTAAAAATAGCCAATAAGCGTGTAAATGGGCGAAAGAAAGTTTTTGTTCGATAGCAATACTGCTGTGACCGGCCGAAAAGAAATATAAAATTAGGGAACTTTCTTCTAAAGGTCTTGTTATTCAATTTCTTTTCGCACTTTAGTAAACAATAGCCTTATGATGGGCATTGTCCCTACGGAGCGATCCGTCGCATCTGGCATCCGGATGGCGCGGTACGTGAGGTCGACGGTAAGGTTTTCAATACAGTCCTCGAGACTGGACAGAGACAACTTTAATTTGACAAACACGTCTTTATTTATGGAGGGTCAATACTGGAATGGTCTCCTTTACAAAACGATCGTTTTTGTTACATCTTGTTAATTACAATATGTCCTTAGATACCAGGAGCCAATAAAATAATTATTAAATTATGAAATAATTCCTGATTTGTTAATACATTTCTTTCAGCTATTCATTTTATAATTTTCAAGTGTTTAACATATTTGCCATGATTTAATATATTTTAACACGTTGACTGCCGCGTCACCCGTATTCGGGTGACAGTTAAGTTTCGGATCGGGCCGCGTCACCCGTATTGGGGTGACGCTTATTTGACTACTTGCGCAGATCATTCGTATGTGTTTGGAAAGATATTTCGCAGAATAAGTAACAAATCTATTGAATATTATTTAATATAAACTATATTTATTCATATGAATTTAATTAAAATGGTTTATTAAGAAAATTATGGAGAATGCCAAGCTTTGAAACATTCTATACAAAGCTGGGGTTGGTTGGGACAACTTGGACAATAAGTTGTTGTTTTATTTACATTATCTCGTGTTCTTGATCTGCCCATTTGACAACTTTTATTTGCATAACACTGTTTGCATGCGCGTCTAATGCTTCCTCCGGAATCATTTTTTCGAACGGCGATATGGTGCTGTCTTCGACGAGAACATGGACTTGTTGTGCTATCAGACAACCCAAATAATTTTGAAGCTAATATTTCCCTAAATCTTCTAATATTTACATCTTTCTTCGTTGCAATTTTGTAAACCGTCAAGGCGTTTACAACAGAAATTCCCAGAAGCAATTGAATGCCAAGCTTTCGGTACCACTTGATTCCTTTTCTAATTGTAGTGGCATAGGAAACCATTTGGTCGGAATAATCTATGCCACACTTTCCTGTATTATATTCGACAACAGCTAGTGGTTTGAGTGTTGCAGGTATCTGTTCACTTGGAGAAATAGTCCGAATGCTACGATTTTTTTTTGCAATTGGGACCATGATAGGAGCGTGTTTTGTGGATAAAATTCTTACGTCCCGTGTATCTCTCCATTTGAGTACCACAATCCCGTTATCATCTTCTTTGGATACCATCTCTCCTTTTCTCAGTTTGCAATGAAGAATATCTTTTGGAAGGAATTTTTTGTTATTCCTAAGTGTTCCCACGACATGGGTTTTGCGGTTTAGGCATGATATTGCTAACTCATAACTGGTGTAAAAATTATCAATATACAATGTGCGTCCTTGGTGGAAAAGTTTTTCTGCAAGCTCAAGACATACATTATGTGCCAATCCCGTTTCTCTAATACCATCAGCCGATTTACCAGAGTAAATTTTCATCGCCCATGTATACCCCGTGTCTGAGCATAATTTAAATAATTTGATTCCGTACTTGTGCGCTTTGTTTGGTATATATTGTCTGAAAATGAGTCTTCCGCGCCATGGAATTAACGTTTCATCAATAACAATATGTTCTCCAGGCGTTAATATTTCCTGATACTTTTCCTCCAGTTTGTCGAAAAGTGGACGTATTTTTCCAAGTCGATCGTTACGGGCAATGGACTCATTATTGGCAAAATGAAAGTTACTCAATAGTAACTCAAATCTATTTCGTGACATTATAGTACGCGGTAATTGAAAATTATATAATGGGCTTTTCGACCAATAATTGGCAATGGGGTTTACTTTTACAACTCCCATATATAAAATCAGTCCCAAGAATTTTTTTATTTCTTCGGGATTAGTGGGTTTCCACTTATGCATCCGTGAACACGGTGGTAGGTCAGATTTATTTAGCTTTTGTTCCGCGTATCTATTTGTTTCTGATACCATTAAGTCTATTATTTCGTCATCGACGAACAGCGCAAACACATCATATGGATGAACATCACCTGGTAATTGTCTAATGAGGCCGCCCGTCTCGGAAAAAGAAAATGACTTCTGCCGACCACTAAATTCATTCCATTCGCCAAATTGAATTGTATTTTCCTCGGTATCATCAGTCCTCCTGTCTTCATCAATGATCAATTCTTGTAAAATCTCATCAATGGAATCTTCATTACACTCAGTATCACTACCATTGCACTTATCAATATCCGAATCGGAATCAGATGATGCAATTCTATTTACATTTCTATTTCTAGGAAATCTGATTTCTTCCTCATCGCTGCTATTTGAATTCGTGTAAGCCTCGTAAAAGCTTTCTTGTTCACTGCAATTTGACTCTCGAACAAATAAGTTTTCCCTTTTCCTTTTCGACATTTCAACGAATTATTAGGGTAGAGATTTTCAGTTATACCGCTCGTTACTCGGCAAAGAGTCAAACTGATCCTATACAATACCGAAATAAGAAACAAGTGCGAAGTAGCGAAAATAAATGACCGGGCATCATACCATGCAAACAAACGGGGTGGGGAGCTGTTCTCGGGACAATAAACGATTCGCATTTTTTAAATATCGGAATACGCTCCGTATAGCGGTACGCGTGGCCTGACGGGGATTTCACTGTAAACGCGCGTGGCAGTCAACGTGTTAAAGAAGGAGTAAAAGCGAAATTTGACTGTTAAAACATTCATCCCTAAGCAAATATTAATTAATTGAAATATGCATTTTAAAAGAATGCAGAGCTGATTTCAGTTGCTTTTAAATAATGCCAACTTCACTTCTACCTCCTTTTCTAATTACAATCATATACCTCAATTTGAATTTCACGCTTGTGAAGCTTACGCTGGACGCCGCTACAAGATGAGGGCGAGATTCACAACATACTGAAGTGTCCAACGCCATTTATTGTAAGGTAACAAAATTTGTCTATTTATTATTGTGTTGCCAGCACTATGACGGTATGAAGTTCACATCGATATTGATTTTCTGCTGTAATATGCTTTTTACTTCTTTATTCTCTCAATACAGGCGTTCACATGTCTTTAAAGATCAATTTCCTCCACTCGCATTTGGATTTCTTCCCACCAAATCTTGGTGTTGTAAGCAATGAATATGGCGAGAGATTTCAGTGAATATGAAAAGTATTGAGACACGCTACCAAGGATTCTCGGATGAATCAATGATGGGTGACTATGACTGGTTCCTTGTAAGAGAAACTGATATCAATGCGGGTAAAAGACACAGAAAAAACCTAAATTGCTTTCTAAAAATAAAATAAAATAAAAGAAAATACATTTTAATTTGTTTTCTTCGTAAATAAATAAATACGTAGAAAAAATACATTTAAATTTGTTTTCATTGAAAACAAATACGTAATTCGCCAAGAAACGGAAAGAAATGCAAAAATAGGGAAAAAGTTGAGAATAGGCACTCCCACTATATCGTCCATAACTTCCTTATTTGTCCATAGATTTTGCTCAGGTTGGACATTTTTTCTTTGTAAAGGTGTGTACTCTATATAAAAAATAAGTAACTGGACGTCACATAACAATTTCTATGTTTTCTAGGCAATCTACTGAATTTTCGATTTGAATTTTGGCCCCAAAAAATGACATTTTTCTTAAGTTTCGCTCGATTTCGCCTAAACTATTGGTCCGATTGGAAAACAATGTATCAAACAATTGTATATAATTTAATTACCTTCAATTTAAGAGTTGTCGCGATCAAATCGATCAACTCTAACACGAGATATGGCCAAAAACGGTGGGTCGTCTTTTTAAAAAATTACCAAAATATTCATCGAGCGATATTTCAAAAACGTATCTTTAGGATTTCGTCCAATGTCGATTTTTAAGTTTAGGGGACCACCTTACATAAGAATTTCATAGTGGAGTCTCGATCACACATACTTTTTTGGATTTTGTAAAGTATCGGTGGAATAAAACATTTATTGTTGTGTTTACTTTGAAAGCTGTTCATTTCTAATTCTTTAAAATATTATCAAATAAGTTGGTTACTTTTTATGCAATTGATTTTATGAAAAATTCAAAATGCATCTGGGGACGAATAAAATTTGTATGACGTAGTTACCTCTCGCGATTCACTTTCTCTTGGATAAAGCATACCAGGAAGTGGCGACGGTGCATCTTCTTCCTGTGGCAAAGGTGAATATTCTACCGGTACTTCGGGATATTCGATTTCGGGACCCGATTCACCAGCCATCGCAGCGCCAATTGAAAGAAATATTAAACACCACATTTTTTCTTATTTTTCCTACAATAAAAGAAATTTGTCTTCTTAATTGAACGTTGGTATGTTTCAAAATTATACCGACAATTGTAAAACAGTAAAAATATTAAATGGCACATTCAAGCATTCACTAATTTCCGTACTTACAGGTTAAGTAGTTATTCTAGCTTTTGACTTAAAATTTTGTTCTATATGTTAGAAAATATAAACAACATTCAACAGTTGTTCAGTAAATACATTTGTTTTGTTATATTAAATACGTACAGTGAGCAACTGATATTTGTTTGCAATTTATCATTATTTTATAACACTGGTAGGCACTCAAACTTGTAGATAATCATAGTTAAGACGGACTTTTCAATCCATACCTGTGTACCTGATTGTATCAACGATAAAAGATATTTTTATTTTCGCGTAACCGACCATAGAAGCCGAATGCCGGTCATCTTGACCCGTAATAGATACTATTATTATATATGTACACTTTTCACATTAATTTTAAGAATTTGTAAAAATTAGTTAAAATTTCCATTTTCATAAAAGTTGATCTATTTATTCGCTAGAATCATGCATCCTTGTTTTATTAAAGCATCGATGCATACCATACGATTTTTAAAGGATTTCAAAATGATTTTTAGAAACATCTGCCTAGCATAATTAACGAATTTTATATACTTTCAGAAATATAATAATGGAAAGATTTTAGAAATAAATGCAGTTGCTGATTTTTAACTTAATGAATCACATATTAGAAGAAATTATTTCTTTTGTTTTATAGTTTTGGTGTAAAGTAATCCATAAATACGTAAATTTGCATAAATATCTGACCTAAGTAAAATGAAGGTAGTTGTTTATGTTGCGAGTTTATCGCGGGCCGAGTCGATCATTGGATTGAAACGACCGCCCTAGGATAGCTAGTTCTATCCTGAAAAGGATATGGACTGAAGGTGGTGTTGCAGCGAAAAAACACACCGGATTTTGGCCGGAACAGTTTATCGTTGAGAATCTTAACGATGTCTCACGAAAACACGATTACACTCGGTGGACACTGAAGAGCCGCGAAGTGGTGATCGAGAGTGCCGTACACGAAAAATCTAGGCGATTACAAAAATCGTTTACACTAATCGCCGTCTATCGGCACAAATTATACTCGAACGTCGAGAGCGCGAAATATAACACTTGTGGTGTTGCAATAATTGACGCACGAGTTGAAAAATGTGAAGTTTGTTGAGATCTGCGATTACTACAAAGGTTTACGACAGAATGCCTGGCGAGCAGCGAAGTTTCTACTGGTTTTAGTTCAAAATTCGTTAGGATTTTTCAGAGAAGTGCCGGATTGGTTCCAAAAATATCGATCATCGCGAAAATATCGATAGATAATCGATAATTCGAAAAGAGTTGCTCAGATTCCTTAAATACGTTAACGCACGCGCTCTAACGCACCACGGTCGCGAAATTCAGGGACGAAACTAGCAAATCGGCGTTAAGCGCACGCAATCGCGGAGGGGCTCGCAGTATGATACGAGAACACCCTGTCCTATTTACTTTTGACGAATGCGTTTCTTACGTTTTCATTCCGAAACAGTAGTTGTTCGAAGCAATTCAGTTAATAACAAATGATATTGTTTTTTCTTATTTGAAAAGTTTCAAAAAACAGGATGGTTAACCACTTGCGCTGGCGGCCAGGTCACAAATGCGTGTAATTTCGATGTGTGTAGCACGTCTTTCCAGCGCAAGAGGTTAAGGGTATACAGTAATCACGTATTAAATGCAACACGAGACCGACTAAATGAATTCTACACTGTCATCCCCACCACTGGGGAAGGGGGTCGTGGAACTCGTCAAGCGTTTAATTTTTTGCCCGGCGCGCCGTGGCGGCTTCTCTTTCACGAGCCGACGGCTGAGCGGGGGAAGATCAAGAAAAATGTTGTACAAAGAGTAGTCAATAAAACGTGTAAGGTTTTCTGTTTGTGGACTTGCACTATAACGTTTATTACGGCACAAGTTTTCACGACACAATTTAAATAATACAACACTTGAACAGTAAAACGTTAATATAATTAAGAGGCGTCTCCGTTTATTATATTGCCCGACGAATATAATAAGGCGTAGAGAGATCGATTCGGTACAGACCTAAAACAGAACGCGTCAAAGAGCACCGCTTGTCTTCGCTGTTAATTGCCGAATAATGGGATTACCGTTGGATGGCCTAGGTGATGATAGCGAGCAAACGTAGACGCGCGAGCCGGTAATAGCCGAATTCGGCACGATAATTACCGAACTTCGCGGCGAGACGCGCGGGACGTGCCCACCGCGACGAAGCTGGCTTGTCGGCGTGCATGACGTCATGCCGCGGTCCAGCCAATCCTGAAGAAATGTAACGATGAAATTTTTGTATTTCTAGTTCTTTGTTAATGAAACTTTTATTAACATATTGGTGAAATTATTCCGATTTAAACCATACCAAAAACAGGGTACAATTTGGAACATATTTACTTATGTAGAATGTATTAAAAATTCATAGTCTCTTATTATTGCTTTTAATAAGGTATTAATATAGAAAAATGTTGGAGCCTTTGTTTATTGTGTACAAAGGTGTCAGAAAGATTTAAAATGGTACAATATTGAATGTCGGAAGGAAAAGAAATAAACGCGTCCGTAGGTATACATATTCAGTTGCTCACGAAAGTATTCGAACGCACCACCGCTGTCTTTAACCTATCATGTAACAGTTTATCCCGTGTCATACTCGGGTAGAGCAACAAATTATCGAACTGTTTATTCCCAGTGAGACTCGGAGTTTTAAAAAAAGTAACGAACTGTGCAACGTGTTTCCCTGTTGTGCTATAGCGTTATAGCCAGCCTGTGCATTAACCGAATCGTCGCTCGCAGTTGAGCCAGGACACGAGATATTCGAGAGGGCAACCAAAAGTGACGGGCCCCAGAGTTCCAGTTTGAGTCCGCCCCTATGGAACCTGGGTAGGACGCTGTATTACGGAGGCCCCTCTCACCCGGTACGAGTGTCGTCTGGTATGCGGACGACACTTTGATTATCGTGGTCGAGGACAAGGACAGCCTGCCGCACGGAAGTGGCGATGACACACATCGTCGCCAGGATTTGAGCTCTGGGGTTGGAGATCCCGCCGAAGACGGAGGCCGCCTGGTTCCACAGGCTGCCTCTGTCGCGGCCACCACCCCAGACCCGAATCCGTATAAGTGACAGCCTAGTCGAGGTCGGGAGCAGGTTGAAATACCTAGGTTTCTACCTTGACAGCCGCTGGCGCCGAAGTTCACTTCGAAAAACTGGCCCCCCGCGTGGAGGCGGTGGCGACCATATTGGGTTGCCTACTCTCCAACATAGGGGGGCCAGAAGAGAGGATACATTGCCACTAATGGGGGTGTTTCGGTCAATGACCCTGTACGGATCACCGGTATGGGACAGAGGTCTAATGGCATAGTCAGCAAGCCCTCCGCAGCATACAGCGGAGGATGGCCATCAGCCTGATCCAGAGATACCTAACCATCTCCCAAGAGGCAGCGATAGTGTTAGTGGGGTGATGCCATTTGAGATCCAGATGCGGGTTGCACCGCTGTAAACAAGGGTTGCCTTGCGGGGGGCGCGATTTATAGGGGTCACGGCTGCGATAACCCCTCGCGTCGTCAGCAGGGCAACCGGCCGAGGGGGTGGTACTGGGGGTACCACCTCCTTTCGCGGTCGGCCCACGAGAAGACAGCGTCGAGAGGTGCCCCGCGATGCAGTAGGTAGGAGGTGGAAGGACGACACAATAGCCGTCCCGGGGGGTGGGGAGTAACCGCTACCCCCCTCCCCAGAGGAAGACCCTCCCTTAAACATCTACAGGGAGGACATGGGCGGGGCTGGTCGCGGTGCATACCGAGCGTACCCGTTGACAGCCCCTATGCCCGAGGGTCACGGGGGGGTTTTTAGTGGGTGAAATCCGATATTGGCCGTGCCGGCCTCAGGGAAAGCGGTATCGCCTTTTCAAGGTTTTCCCCCGTCAAAAAAAAAAGAAAAGAATAAAAAGGGGTACAAGGCTAGGCTGTAGGATCCAGAGAGCTGTCGACGAATCAAATTAATTGGATCACCTTGATTGGCGTAAACGGTACGACAAAGAGCGTACAAGACATACCGAGACCGAGTAAGATAACGCGAGCCGCACGCGGCCACAATGTAGTCATTGACCGGCGAGAGCATCACAGGCGGGTCACGCAGTCGAGTCGAGTGGAACCAGAAGCTTTCTCTCTGTTTTTCAATAGCTTGTCCTTTTTTATGTTCAGAACTGTACAAAGGCAAACCTGTCGAGGCTCGAGTTTCAAGCAAAAAATTATCGTGATGAATGCAGCGAAGCGGACCCGAGTTTGTTGCGTTCAACACGGGATTACTGTACAATGTCTACAATCAATAGAAATCAAACTGAAATAAATTCCCAATTTTAACGTTAAAAAATACTTTCACTGTAATGTGTTAAATAAGTAATGATCATATGTCGTAAAATTCGCGAATTTTCACATTTCATAATTTATAGTAACTCTTTAGACAAAACACTATAATCGCTCAATTAAGCTATCGCTGTTCCGAGAATTATTTGCAATTATCAAACACACGCGTAATTAATTATCTTTCATTAGTTAACCTCATATTTTTTGCAATAAAAACGAAGAATACTTGATACGACTGTAAGTTTCTGTGTTATCTTCAACTACCGATTACTTCAATGCGTTCTTAATACCAAGGACGATATTTTCTAGTCATGCAAATATGTAGAAATACCAACTGTGAGTTATATTCATAAGGTTTACTAGAATTTATATTTCAAGTGGAACTTACTCTGTTTCGAGGGTGATATCTTATGATAGTCACAAATCTTATC